TATATATACTTTATATAAATATAGTCAAAAAGGTTGCTGTCAGAAGTGGGATTCGAACCCACGCCTCCATGGGAGACCAGAATGCCCGCTTCGCAGGAAGGTTTTGTTCCTTGAGTCTGGCGCCTTAGACCGCTCGGCCATCCTGACAACTCCGGCTCCTCTCCTGGTAAATGTGCTTCTGACAGATAAACTAGTCCCTGTGGGGACTAGTTTTTCTCCAAATAAAACAAGTCAAACAGGGCGAGTTTAAAAAGTAATCATGCATTTCCCTGACGTTCAACCTGAAAGATAAATACATCTGTTCGTAATTATTTTTATTTCAAAACTTTATTTGTCTTCTTTGTAACAATTACATAAAAAATTGACATCAGCAGCAACAAATGACAAACTACAAATAACATGTAGCAAAAGAAAATTATACAATAAACAAGTCACTCAATAATTAAAGTCATTTAGGGTCAATCAAACGTAAATGTTGAAGATGCAGCAGAGTGTGTTCTGTTCTCAGATATTCAATAAAATCCAGAAGCTACACAGAAGCACACGTGAGACACAGCAGGTGCTCTCTTTTATTCTGGTCCGCCCCCAAACACAATACAGCACAAAGGTTCCTATCCACGGATAGCCTGATACTACAGAGTGGATTCTGCCTTCTTATTTTTTGTTAACTTTAAATTATTCTCATCAAAGTCTACTGAGAAAACATAAAAGTTTGGGACAGATCTGGAGGACCTTGAAGTTTCCCTTAGAGGATCTTTAGATTAATTATGAAGCTCAAACTTTTATCAATATATGGAAGCCCATTTCCGCCACCCTGATAAAAAAATAAATAAAACTTGTATCTCATAATTATGAGATAGTATCTCATAATTATGAGACACTATCTCATAATTATGAGATACTATCTCATAATAATGAGATAGCTAAGTCATAATTATGAGATATAAGTTTTATTTTTTATCAGGGTGGCGGAAATGGGCTTCCATATAAATACATTCAAACCTGAATATATTATCTTTAGGACTAATTTGAATAGTGTGTTTAGTTTAATCCTTGACAAATTTCTCCATGTCCCTCCAAAGCCCAGAAGACTGAGAATAATTACAAAATAAATGCAAATATAGTCTCTGATTTAACTTAACAAAAGCAAAAATTTTCATCAATATCCTTAAACTTTGACAACTTTTTGTTACATGGGAAAACATTGTGTAAAATGTGAAATTAAGCTCTCTTAATTTATTTGAAATACACCATTGAAATCCATGTTTTTTTCCAACGTATATTAAACTCTGTATTCCAGAAAAACTTTCCTCTGGGTGACGCTGAACTTGAACTACAGAGAACCTTCCTTATGAGCAGTGTTGTATAAAGTACTACAAAGTGATACTTGAGTAAAAGTACAAGTATCTTATCATAAAAATACTTTGGTAAAAGTTAACGTCGTCTCTAAAAATATTACTTGAGTAAAAGTCTTAAAGTATCTGAT